AGAGTGCTGTTCCAGCTCATCTGCTTCCAGCACGTTTGCCCATGAAAGTGTTTGTTATCCAGTGCTTGAGCATGTGTCAGTCCTAGCCTTTTTCCTCAGTGACAAGCAAAATGTTCCTTGACTCTCTTAAAGAGCACTCAGGTGACAGTGAAAAGTGACCTTCCTTAGGAAGGTGGTTGGTGGCTTTCAAAATCCTTACTGCATGCTGAAAATGAGCTGGTGGCCTCAAAGCACTGAGTAGGAGGTGGGCACACATTGGAGGAACTCCATACAAAGAAACGCTCCCAGAGGCATTTCTGGAGGAAAGCAGCACTTCTGGCCCCTTGGGAAATGCAGCCTTAATAATAATGGAATTACAAACCAGAAGTTTTCCATGTTTTGTAAATGCCACTTTTCCATTTCTCCTCCTTTTCCCTGTGCTCAGAAAGGGGCACACATTCTCTCCTGCAGCAGCATTCCCAGCAGCAGCACAGAGGAGAGCTGGGGTGGCCACTGGCACCCACACACAGTGTTCTGCCAGCTCACAGGCTCCACACACCAGGTGAAGGTGCCAAGAGGGAGTGGACACAGCTGGGAAGCCCAAGGAGACTGCTGTGAGCTGGGCAGGGGGAAGGTGGAGCTGTGACCAGGTTCCACAGCAGCTGGAATTGGTAGAGGTACTGGGACAGGGGTGGAGGAGACTGGCACCTTAAAGTTTTGCCTCCATTAGATACTCAGCTCCAGGGAATTATAACAGAGTTTGGCTTGTGACTGGTTTTCAAAAAAAACCAAACTTCTGTTTTGATCACAGGCTAAACCCATTTTATCGTGAGATCTATATCTGGGAATATCTAGTGCAGGTAGTGTATTACATAAAAGCTAAAAAAGTAAAATCAAATAGAGAAGGCCTGGGACAAGAGGAGTGAACAGAATAGTTTGGCAAGCTTGAGTCATGAATTTCATTCCAGTGATAGGGTTGTCTATACTGTTTATTTTTAACCAAGATTATGAGTTTAATTCACAGTAACAGTTTCAGATGGAATCTCCAGGATGGATACAGCTGCTGAAATGTTAGTACATTTGTATACTCTGTATTCATTCCAGAACCCCGAGAACAAGAGGTTCTTCCAAGGGGGAAAATAAGGAGGAGTAGGTGAAGGATAGGATGCTGTGGGAAGTGAAGCATCTTAGTCATCCTTGTTAACATAACAACTACTTGTCTTGAAATTATATTGGCTTGTGTAATGCTTGCAGCTAGACAGAAATTATTTCAGTGATAATAGAGCTCATCCTGAGCCAAAAAGTTGTCTCATTTCCCTTTCTTTTTACAGCATAATAGGTACGAATATCCTATTCAAACACTTCCAAAGTTTTCAGTCATAATTATTCTCTGCTTATATTTAACTGTTGGGGGCTTAAGTTCCAGTTTGCTTTCTGACTGACTAGATGCAGTTGCTATACTTTTGCCATAAGATACAGCCATTTTTTTCCCTGTCAGAGTAATTCAAAAGCAGAAAATTGAGGCTGAGTGTCTGAGATGCTGCACCTTTATAAAGTGAAACATCCATGCACTTCTGTGTACTTGCTATGAATTCTAACAACTTCAGTTTATCAGTAACTAAATATTTTGTAATTATATAAATACATTTAACTATAAATATATCTTTATATTAAATTATATTAAAAATAATTGCATTGGTTTAGGTTATTTGCATTTATGAATGTGTTATAATAGTCACTCCTAATGCATGTTGTAATAGATATAAAATACATGATAGGTAAATTATGTAATTATATCAATAGATAAATAAGTGAGGGTTATTTCAATGTCAGCCAAGTGCAAAGATACCCCAGCCATGAAGGTGGCCACCTTAAGGGCTGATGGTTTGCAGTGCATGCTTGGGGTCTGCCTCTCTGTGTTTACTATTTGTGTATGAAGTCTGTGGCATCTGTAGAATCCACACAGAAACACAGAATGTTGAGAGGCTGGAGTGGACCTTGAAGATCATCTTGTCCAACACTTGCCACTATCCCAGGCTGCTCCAAGCCCCATCCAGCCTGGCCTTGGACACTTCCAGGGATCCAGGGGCATCACAGTCTCCCGGGGCAACCTGTGCCAGGGCCTCACCACCCACCCACACAGTAAAGGATTCCTTCCCCATATCTAAACTACATTTCCCCTCTGAATTTGTACCCAGGACATTAACTAGCAGAGCTCTAGTCCTCTCTTTTCTGTCCTCAACTTGCTCCTAAGTGCAGATGAGCTAAATATAAATTGTGCAATATGCATTCAGATGTTCTCTTAGAGAAACCAATGCAACCCTTCCTGACAGCAAGTTGCACTGGCTGTTTACTTATTTTCATTTGAGGTCCCAAGGACCACACCCCCAGCAAGCTGCAAAGCCCCAGCCTACAGTGATGCCTGAGAGGACTAGACTGGGTTTGTAGAGGGAGTGGAGGGCAGAAAAGAGCCTTTTGCTGTTTTGTCCTCTTTGGAAAGCCTTTACTCCAGGGAGATTCTGCTTTCCTGGAGAAATCATTGCTTTAAATGACTCTTCCTCCACCAGAGAAGCTACAAACCCACCAATAAGGTTTCTCCCATTCTCTCAGCCATGCTGGCTGGTCGAGAATGGTACAAAGTGTGGGAGCAGTATCCTATCCTGTTCCCATGTGAGTGAGCTCTGGGAGCAGCCAAGGCCACAGAGGCTTGCTGGAGCAGAGAGCACCAGCTCCTTTAACCCTTCACCCCCTAGAAAGAGCAGTGCCCGACCCACAGAGCCAGAGCTGTGGGGTATTGGCACCTCGAGTCATGTGCTGCCTTCTATGAAGGAAACAAAACTGCAGCAGAAAAGCCAATGGCTCTCAAGTGACCAGGCTGATAAAAGATTTGAGGGTTGAGAGGAAACATCATCCTGCACAGGACATCTCTGTGGTCTCCAGCCTGCCTTAACACAGTCATTTCCACTGTCAGGAAGTATAATGTGAAAATTTCCTATCCTGAAAAAAAGCTCCTTAAAACTCTTAGATCCACCTCTTGCAGTGCAAACTTTCATCTTAACTATTGCTTTTAGGCTGGAGCCAGAAATTAGTTCCTCAGCTTCCAGTTCCTTGGACCATAGCAGCACATTCCTCCTGTTGATGAGAGGCATCAGGGGCTTTAAAGTATTTTCATGGTTTGTTTGCCATTTCTGCTTTGGATGGATTTTTTCTTTATGCCAAGGAAGTTTCCAGTGAGTTGTGGTTTATTATTTGAAAGGTGGGACTTTTCAGTGCCGAACACCACTTCCAGTGCACAGCACAAAATCCATGGCTTCTTAATTAACACTGCTGGTGCATTTTCTTTCCTTTAAGAAGTACTTGTGCAAAAACCAAGCCCACTGATCACCCTGGGGAGAGAGAGTGTGACCTGCTTGATCCTTAATTATTATTTAATTACTCATATGCTAAATTGCCCCTCTGGACAGTATCAGATGAGTGCTTTTGATCTGTTGCCACTTTTCCAGCCCCCAGGGGCATTAGGGGGCTCATCACCTGGTGCAGCCTGGCAGAGCTCCCTGGGTGTTTGGGATGTGGGATGTGAGGGCTGGGGAGGGTCCCAGAGCTGCTGGCAGAGAGGGGGAGGCGAGTGTTGCTTTTCCAGGCTGTTGGGATGGAGCTGTGAGGCAGGAACAGGCACCACCCCTCGCTGCAGCCACAGCTGAGGGGTTTATTTATCTCATTTCCTGAGCCCAACGTAATGGCAAGTCTTCAGAGTTCAACTAGGAGCAATATACAAGGGGCAAGTTTTACATAGAATTTTATTATCTACTGCTGATAGAGACTTTTTTTTTAAAACAAAAAGAAAACTGTTAAAGGCTCATGAAAGAACTTTCTGTATCAACCTACTTTTCTCAAATGCTTCAGTTGTGGACTCAAAGAGTATAAAGGACACAAGCCTTTCAAAAATCACTGCAATACTTTTAAAACACCATGCCTGGCCTGATATCAGGCTGCTTAGCTGTGTACTTTAGTAGAGATGAAGCTACAGAGCCTCCCTAGTGGTACCAGGTTATGCTGGGAGAAAAAGCACATTGGCTGTTTATTAAAAAAAAAAAAAAAAAAAAAAAAAAAAAAAAAAAAAAAAAAAAAAAAAAAAAAAAAAAAAAAAAAACCCAAAAAGTCCACTTTGGGATTCATGGAAATGATGCAAACTCTCAAACTAATGGGCTTCAGCAACAGGACTCTCTAGTGCTCTAGTGACAATTTTTAATATAAAATTGCCTTCAGTCATCCATCACACTTTGCTCCAGGATGTGGTAATGGGGAGAGGCCAAGGCAGGCTAATGAAGGAATGTGAGCTGCTGAGGTGAGAAAGCTGCAGCTCTGCCAGGCTGAGAGCAGCCAGGGACACAGTGCGAGGGGACATGCTGGTGAGGGGCAAGCAGAACCTGGGGGAGAGGTTCTGCTCTGAAAGCTGGGCTAGCAGGGAATGAGGAGACTGCAGAAGAATGAGGAGCTGCTTGGAATAACACTGAGTAGTTCATCCTCCCTCGGAATTCTCCCTCGTGGCAGGGAAGTGGTGGTTCCCTGCCTCCCAGACTGGCTGAAGGGTGATGAGCTGGGCTTCTTACAGCTCCAGGACTCCTTAGCCAGGAATAAACTTTTTCACTTGGGATTGAATTTAACCCAAGAAAAATTTAGTCTAGATTTGATTATTGCTCTTTTGGCTCTTCTCAACAACCTGCAGTGGGTTTCAAATTCTTTGTTCATTTAGAGAGTGGATTCTGTGTAATAAATTGCTGTGTTGAGATCAAACTGGCTACTGAGCATGGCCAGGGAAGGAACAGACTGACAGTGCAGGAAGGAGCATGAAGTGAAGCAGTAAAATGTGATATAGTGATACTGCTGCTGGAAAACCTCTCCTGTAGAGCAGCTAATGGAGCACACACAGTGTACTGGAAGGAACAGAAGCTGGTGCTTTGTTAGCACACCTGGCAGGCCTTGAATTTCAGACACACTGAAAAAATCCCACAACACTGATGGCAGCTTCTCAGAGGTGTACATGTTTTATTCATAATGTGGTACCAAGGCATTAGTTACAAATGTTTGACATAAAGGTGACCAGGATCAAAGGTGTAACCTGGAGACAGGAGGGTTTCATGACAGTCACACCCCCAGAGCAGCTCCCAAGGCTGTGTCAGCTTACCTGCTGCCTCTGGAGCCCTGGGAGCAGCAGCAAAGCCAGGAAACATTACTGACATCTTGCTGCAAACATGCTGGAGGGAACTGGAGTTGGAAAAAGGTGATTTTCTTCCAAACTTCTCCTTTTGTTCCATTTAACTGATTGCAAAGTTAGGGAAGGTGGAAGAATGATCTGTAGGATTTTCAATTCATGAGCACTGTAGTTTCATGGGGTTTTATAACCAACAGCCTAGAAATTCCTCTGCCCCAGCATCCTGAGCTTACAAACATAGCAGCCCCAAGAGGAAAGGCACAGTTTAGGGTTATTCTTGCTGTCCATGCTGGCCCAGGTCAGGCACTGCTGTGCTAGCGTACAAATTCTTGTAATAAATGGTAATAAATGACCCTGGAGCAGTGGCCCAGAATGTGGAGCCATCCCATAATGGCAGCCAGTGACACACAGGTAGCTCTGGCTTTTGAGGGAGCCCTTTCACCTTAGCAAATGAAGAAGGCCATGCCAAAGGATCTACGGAATGGCCAAGCAAAGATGTCTTGTGGAACAAATGTAGCCTGGAAAGAATTCATGACATGGCAAAAAGACAAGCTAGATCCTTCTAAAAAAATTAGTCCAAGTGGATTTCAAATTCAAAACTATTTAAAAAAAACTAGTTTTTCTTAAGTACATTGCAGAGCTCTGGACCAGCTGGATTTACCTTCATTGAACACATTGAGTGCAGCCATTTAGCACTCACCAATACAGTCCTGCATTTAAGAAGTCTGTCAGAACTAACTTAATTCCCTACAGCTGCTTTGGAAAAGTCTTCTCATTCCTAAGATGCAAGGCCACACACTGGTCTCAGAATAATTATTTATTTCGAAGTTCTCTTGTGTGGCAATCAGGAAAATTTTTTTCTAGTTAATGTCTGATTTATCTGAACTGCCAAATACAACAGCCAGCAGATTTATTTGGGCTCATGGAAGAGAGCAGGGAGCAGAACACAGATTCCTGTTCATGCTTCTAAAAAGCTGTCACCTCTGCTGGCTTGCAGAGTCAGTGCTTTACTACATTACTCCATCCAGTTGTTCCAACACTTTGGGTGTTTCATCAAACATTTTCAAGCTTACATTCCAAGGTGTGGGCTTGGCCAAGGACAAGTTTTGGATGCTGCAGTCTGGACCAGGTTTAGGGCTCAGACTCGAGGCTCAGCTGGGCAGCCCAGCTGACCTGGGGGCAACGATGCCCATCAGAGACCTGGCCCAACAGCACCTGTCAGAAATCCCGTGTCACAAAACAGATCCACTGCAGTGGGGCCACTCTCAGCCCTGCTGAAGGAGCTCCTCAGGCCTGGGGACAGCAGGCTGGCTTTGGGCACTTGGCACATTCCTCCCTCCCAGCTGCAGCATGGGCCCAGCTGTGTCAGAGCTTGTCACTGCAGGAGGATCAGTATTATTTTCAACTGTGTGCTTCTAACTAATGCAACAGCATTTTCAAATAATTTAAGCAAGTGTTATCTTACAGATTTAGAGCAAAACGTTGGCATATATAATTATTAAGTAAGTGGGGGGAAGATGAAATATCATTGGAAATTCAAGACAGGAAAACATAGTGGCAAAATATCAGACTATTTCTCTGCCTCTGAATTCACTCATGACTTGAACAGGATGGATTCTCTTCTTTGCAGAACCTTTTCTGACAGCAGCATAGATTTCTTCTGGCTTCTCTCTTTTTATCAGGGGCTTCTTTTCTGGAGCCTTCATTCTCCACATCACAACTGGATGCCGTGGGCCAGTAGGACTCTGAATCTTGATAATCTTTGTGGATGCAATATAGGACATCTTCACTGTCTGCACCACAGAATTCATTAAATTTTTGGCAGCCTGAATTAGTGAAGTGACACTGTCCAGCTGTAACAGGAAACAGAAACACCAGCCTAGAAGTCAGTGTGCTGTTAACCACAGTAGGCACAGGAATAAACACCAGTTAAAAAGTAAGACTACCAGAGATTAAACTATAATTCCCACATTTTCCTTTCATGTGTTCGATCCCCGTGCTCATGCTATGCTGCTCAGATTTATTGTGATGTATGGAAATTAGTGCTGGTGGAATATATACAAGCTTTGGAAGATAATGCTAATTGGTTTTTTTCTTTAACAGGGATTCATAATACTTGTCTTCAGGGTTCTATTGCAATTACTACTGATGGGTAATGAAACCAACTTGAAGAGCTGTCAAAATGTGAGCTCTTTGCTTCCTTTGTTTCATCACTAGGTAAGGCCTCCAACTGCTCCTGTCCCATTCCAGGCTCCCACAGGTACTCAAGAGCAGTGCTGGGATACTCAAGTCTGGCTCTGTTAGAGCTGCTAAACCTGTTCTTAGCAGCCAAGATTTGTATGGGATATTAAAAGTGGGACAACCCCCAGAAATCCCAGTGACTGTGTGGTCTCTCCAGCTGCTCGGGGAGTGCCAGCCAAGGGCAGAATGAAGAACAAACAAAGCCCATCACCTTCCCCAGCATCCAGCACAGCCATACCAGTGCCACAGCAAGGGCATCTTCTATCACTGCTCATGGCCAGGAAATGGGAACACTGAGGAAGCTCTCTAGAGCTGGGATGGAGAAATAGAAGGATTACTTTTCAAAATGGGAGAGCCTTCACACTTCACCTTCTAAACATCTCCTTTGCTGAAACATTTATGTAAAAGCACTGAAGCCAGTTCTGTGAAGGGCTGTCTGTGGGTTTAGTGGCAGAGTGATCCTGTCCTCTGCCATCCAGCCCAACCCCAGAGCCTTGGACAAGGCACAGATTTACAAATGAAGCTATTAGGAGAGGTTTGAGGATTTCTCCCTCTGCCAGATCAAACAAACTGATCAGGTGAAAGAGGTGTGTTATTGCTGTCTTCATTCTGATTGTCTAACATAAATACAAATAAGTCAGAAATAAAAAATTCAGCCAAGAGGCTGGATTTAGTTGCAATATGGAAATGCCTCTGAACTGACAGAAAAATCTTCCAGTTAATACAACACACACTGTTGCTCACTAGAAATGAAAAAAAAAAAAAAAATATCTGGTTGAATGCACACATACATGTGATGGCAAACTGAAATTATCTCAATTCCCCAAGAAAAGGTGTAAAATCTACCAGATGGCCTCTAAAGTTCATTCTGTGCTGCAGCATGTGAACTTTCTAGAAAGGGCTGCCAGTCTCTAGCAGCATGTGCTGTTTGCAGGGCACTGCTGCCATCAGGGGTGGGTGGGTGTGTCTGGGGACTGGGATGTAGGAACTGAGCAGGGAGCTGGGCTACCCAGCCCCTCAACAGCCTGGCCCTGCAGCACAGCTGCACACACTTTGATGTGACCTTCAATGCATGTACTGGCCCCCAAACTTCAAACACTTCTGTATGCATCTAACACACAGAAAACAAATCATTTGCCAGAGCTGCAGGCTGGTGGGAAGGTTCTGCTCTGAGTTCCTGCCCTACACTCCCAACACCTCTGCTGTGCACTCCCTTCCCCAGGGAGGCTGCTCAGGGGCAGATGGAGGGAGGCCCTAGCCACACCTCACTGCTGGATGCTGTCACACAGTGTTTACTGGAGCAGGAGGAGGCACAGCTTCATAGGAACTTCTTTCTTTCATTTCCATTTCACAAAATTTCAGTTATCTGTTGCTGTCTAGAACAGCTGACAACACCATAATCCAGACAGCTTCTTGAAAACTTTGAATAACCTTTTTTTTCCTCCTACCCTAACACTTCCTTTTCCAGCACTGACATAGTAAGGCTACTATGAGGCTGCTGGGACAAAGAATAATATTGTTTTGGTTCTGTGGCAGATAGTAATGAGCTTCAGAGGAAGCTTTTTCCCTGAAGTCTCCCAGTGACTGCACTGTGTGCAACTGCTCCAGCATTTTAAAGTTGCTGAGTGATAGAGGCATGTGAGGAGGGGTGGCAGGTTGGGCAGCAAAAAATTCTTGTTTGCATGGCATGGAAAATGCTTCTTGAAGAAACTGGTAGCATCCAGGCAGCTGTTCTCTATTGTGACTTCAGTGTGTGTAGTGTGGAACATGGAGAATGCTGAGGTGAGCACTAGAACTTAGCTGGTCTTTCCTCCGCTGTGGACATTGAACAGTTACATCCTCCTTCTGCCCCCTGTGGCTTTTTCCACAAATGGCTGTGGAACAGTCTAGGGCTCCTTCACCCCACCACTGGGATCAAGCAAACTGTGTTTTTATTGTTTTCTAAACTATAATCATAGGTATCTACTCCAAGCAGCAAAGAAACTGCAGGGATGCCTAGCTTTGCTGAGGCTTTATCTGAAAAGCAGCATGCAGCCACGTCAGCCACGGAGTCTGACACAGGCTCTGGGAGGAGTCACCCGTCACCTCCAGCATTTGAAATGCTGAAGAGCCAAAGCCTGACTCCAAGCCCAACTGTAGAACTGTTCCAAGTGGCAGAATTGCCCTTGCCACACCAGAGGAACTGGACCTCTGCCATAGCATTAAAGCTCTACAAAAGATGCCCTGAGCCACAAAGAGCCATGGAGGTACCTCCATGTGAGAAACAGCTCTGTGTGTCCCCTGCTGCAAGACAGTGACCTAGAACCCACCAAGGGTGTTTGACCTTGGCTTTTGCTGCATTACCTGGGGCTGGGCTGAGTCAGAACAGGAGGGAGGGGCAGGGACACTCAGCTAATGCTGCCCTTCAGGCTGTCTGCTCACAGCATTGGCTGTGTCCTTGTGTCTGCCCGTGCCTTCACCTTTCTAATGCAGCTTGCATTTGCCTTCTAAAGAGGAATGTTGTGTTGGGGTGGGGTATTAACTGCATTCAGAATTTTGGAGAAGCTTTTAGATGTTCTTAGGTGTGTACTACAGATGGTAACAATCGGGCCATACATTTAATTTCCTCTTTTTTGGCTTTAGAGAACAGTTGTTTTTCTACCTCAATGCCAGTAACACTGTACAGTTTGGTGGAAATCTGTTCCATAAAACTGATGTACTCAAGAACTGTCTTCACTTGGATGCTTTTATCTCACATATTCAGCAGGCTCTTCAAGGTCTCATATCCAGGAAAACTGAAGAAATGAAACTTGGCATAAATGAAAGCCTGATAAAATATTCATTGAGCGTTTAAGTCCATTTCACTTAGAGAGATGTAGCTGCAAACTCCTCAAAGCACAGCAAGTGGTACATAAAGATTCACTGGCAAAACAAACAGACCAACCAACCCCAAACTAAAACCTGTTTTATTTTTGACTAGCTTCACTTTTAATCTTTCAGCATTTTCCATGGAGATGCTGAAAGATCTAGTCGTCCTAGCCTTCAGATTTTACAAGTCTGACTGTGTAAATTAAGCCAGTAATTCATTCAAGGGTTCAGGAAAAATATCCCTTGCCATTTTTTTCCTCACCTGTCCTCATCTGTGGGCAGTAGTACTTGGCTGCCATTGCAAAAGGAATTCAGAATTATTCTGACCACTGTAATTTCACACTGGGGTGAAACACACATGATACAGAGCAGATGGCAGTATTTTTTAAGAAAAAAAAAAAAAACAAATCAGGCTGGCAGCACTCATGCTAAAATCCACTCTCCTTTCTCCAGCACTTTTATTCCTCCTCTGTAGTAAGTCCTGACAGCAAGAAAGCAAACTCTCCTCTGAATAACAAAGCTGAAGGAAAAGGTTAGACAAGAAATGAATTTGAAACTTTTTTTTTTCAGTTTGCTTACATGCATTGTATTTTTCTTATTTTGGTAATTTAATGTCATGGCAGTAGTGATAATCCCTTGCTACAAAATGCTGAACAATGTAATAACTGATATGGCAGTTATTTTTAATATTAGAATAACAAAGAGAATAATGACTTAGAAACTGAAGAAACCCTTCTGCTGTCCAGTTCAGTGTTCAGTGCAGTAAGAAATGCTTCCATTGTCCCATGTCAGCAGTAGCTGTAACTTGAGCAGCAGTGAGATACAAACTCTGCTTACTGCAGGGCATGCAGAAAGGCCAGGCTCCCTGCTGCTCCCGTTGCTGGTGCTGTGCAGGTGCTGTCCCCTGCCCTGAGGCAGGGACAGACACTCTGTGCCTTGGGGAACCAGGCTGTGTGGGGCTGCAGAACAGCACTTCCAAAGAGTGTACCTGGAGTGCCTGCAGCCCCAGCTGGGACACCTGCACTCCTCTGCTGGGAGTGTTCTTGCAGTTCTGCAGGGAACTCTACGGTTTTGCTGGTTGAGAACAGATGTATTAGTTGGCTGTTTCCAGTATCCTAAGTCTCATTTGCAGTTCACCCAAATTTAGGTTTTCCATACAGGTGGAAGCTGAGAACTAAACACCAAATACAGACTTTTTTTTATCAGCATTTGAAGTCTGAACCTAAAAATCTTTTGGAAATAAGGTCAGTTATTAAAAATTGGTTTTAATTGAAACACAAGGTTCATTATGTAAATTCCTAGAAGCAGATTTCCTTTGGTATACTATACTGAGAGACTAAATTTTTATTTCTCTGACAGCTACATCTGAAAGTAACATGAGTTCTACATTTTTGTGGAGAGCAGTGAGTGTCTGAGTACTGCTGCATTTCAGGTAAGGAGTCCTTACTAAATTGTGCTTTTGATTTTAATCCTGCTTTTCTACTAGGTGTACATAATTGCTGTTTTGAATTATCTTATGTTTCTTTCACTGAGGTTGCTGTATAAAATAGTCATTTAATCCCTTAAGATTAAAAGTAGCAGAACAATCCAAAAAGAGTGAAATCTCCATTGCTGAAGGCGTTGGAGTTTTTACTGGGCCTTGGCCAGGATTTTAATGCCACTTGCCTGCTTTTCTGAGCCTCCTTTTTTTTCCCCACTCAGAGTAGTGTTAATTTCTTTTTAGTGGAAATGGAGATCTTAGTCTAACAGCAGAACCAGAAGATGGGTGTCCAAGAAAAGCCCAGCAAAGTTGGAACTGGAAGCCCTTGGTTACCTGCCATGTGTGCTCATGCAGCTGAGAGATGACACAAAGAACCTGTCACAGATTCAAGCCCAGTGCAGCTTAGATGGGCAATAAGCCAAATGCAGCCTTGCCATTGTGATTCTTTTCTCTGGGAACTGTTCCCTCAGTGTTTCGCTCACCTCTGCTTTGCCATGCTCACACTCTGGGACACTGGAGAGGTTTCACCCCCATGGACATGGTCTCAGGAAAACAGCTCCACCTCTCACGTTTCTTTTCAAGGAACTGAGTGTTCCTAGAAATGTGTTTGTTCCATTGGTTATCTATGTTTGTGTCCATCCAGTGATTGCATTAAACACCTCAGGGGCGTCTGGGGTCTGTTTCATGTCTTACCCATTTTTCAGGTCGGGAAATTGAATCTAATAGACTGAAAACTAACCATTACCAGAGTCTGCTTCGGGCTAAGCAGGATTCAAAGAATTGAAACTAAGTTCTATAATTAGGCTAGGCCTGTGTCTGAGTTAAATGATAAACAACTCACATTAAGGGCTGCAAAATTGTTCCGTGCAACACCATAATGGAGCAGATGCTTAGCCAGGCGGATAGCCGAGTCTCTCCCCAATACTGCTGCTTTCACTTCCAGGGAGGATTTTAAAAATCTAAAAACAGGCCCTTGAGAAAAAGAAGACTGGCTTAATATAAATCCTTTCCTTACTGTCAAGGAAGAAATTGAGTGTTTGTTGCAATAATGTTTTACATACACTGAAGCTAAGAGCTATGAGACACATCCTGATTTTGCTAATTGCCAGAGTAATTATTACTAGGAAAAATAATGTATGTCCTTTTAGTGTACATTACCAGAAATATTTCCTAGTCCTTTAAGTTAGCTTTTCTAAGTAGTTGCAGTTTAGAATACAGTAGTAACTGAGCTCTCTGTAAGTGATTGACAGGAAAATCTGTCCCTTGCTTTGCTTCCAAAAGCCAGGATTTCTATATCCACACACCTGCCAGCATACACTATGCAAAAGCTAGAAAGGTATAGTGTTACTAAATAAAAAAAAAAAAAAACAACCCAGAGTGAAATATTTTTGTCAGCTCTCAGCAGAAGAAAACTTGTGTCAGCTCTTGGGGGTTAATGTCAGCTTTTAGAAATTGAGCAGTTCAGTATTTTCAGTCAAATACTGAAATAAGTGATTTCATGCATGGTGTGAAGCCCTATAAGTAACCTCCCCCATCCATTCCAACAGGCCGAACTAAGAGTTCTCAACAAGAGCCAAGGAGAAACACCAGCCAGGAGAAGTGAAGTGGCTGAGCCCGGAGCAAGAGCTGTGCCCTAGTGCTCAGGGGCACGGCTGTCAGAGCAGCCACTGTGCATGAGAAGCAAGGGAAAAGGGATGCTGTTCCCCCAGAGGAACAAAGCAGGTACTGTAGTGACTTGAGTGGGCTGTCAGGGCAGCCCCTATTCCATTGTCATTCCCAGCGTGCTGCTTTTAGCCCTTTGTTCCTTCCATCCAGTCCACAGCAAGGCTGTTCTGCCCATCTCACTTCTCTTCCAGGGGGAAAGCACATCCAGACCCTAAAAGGAGCTGCAATGCCCTGCTCCCATCTCCTGCCCTGCCGAAGAGGCAGCTCCTCTGCAGCAGCAGCTGAACCCCTTCCAGTGGCGAAGGCATGGGGCCATTTGCCAGCTGCCACAGCAGTGCACCTTGGCCAGGACAGCCTTTTCCTGGACTATGGATATCCAGGGATTGGGACTGTGACAGCCAAAGGCCTGGGGGCAGGGACCCTGCCTTGAATTTTTCTAACTTCTGGCTTTGCCTCTGTGTTTTCACCTGTGGTTCAGCCCTCAAAGCTTGAACACATTTATCTCAAATGTCATGCTGGAAACTTGTGATTTAACAGGCCCAGGAACTCAGGAAGGGAAACAAATATTTCAGTCCAGCCTTGGAACATGAGGTTAGACACATTAAACCACCTCCATTTGGCACAAAAGCAGCCTGATGCCAATGTTTAAGTCTGGCTCTTGAGATACCAGGGGGAAGAGCTGAAGATAAATGAGACATTTGCAGAAACAGCAACGGGAAACAGCCCTTAGTGCAGAGGTAATGCTAGCCAATGTGGGGTGGGGGAGGAAGCTTCTGTGCCAGTTAGCAAATTCTGGGATACTGGAACTCTTGAGAGTTTGCTCTTCCAGACCCTTCCTTTTTAAGGCGAAAAAGCTCTGTCTCTCTCACCGAGTACAATATAAAATGAAACATAAGATAATGACTGTAAATAGCACAAAACAGAATTGCCTGACAAAAGTAATGGAGAACAGTATTAATATGTAAGATATGTTCATTTTCTGCCCTGTGATATAATTCTCTCTAGTTAAAGCCATTTTTGGAAAAAGAGCAAACTGGCATGGTAAGGTGCAAGCCTATTGCTGTGCAGTGCTTGTAAGTGAAGTATCAGCTTATCTGCATAAATGAATGCAATTACTGTCAATCTACATACTGCAAATGTTACCCCATTATTTTGTGCCTGAAGAGGCACCAGTTTAATTAATAGAAGGAAATGTCCATTTGCTATTTATTCACTTCTAACAAAGACTTAGTGAATCCTCACCATTTGGACTTGTGCAGCTTAGAACCTGGCAATGCAAGTACTCACAATATTGGATGGGCCTATGAAAGACTAAATAGCGAGCAAGGAATTTTTCATGAATGAAAACAACAAAACTGCAACGAATGGAGACCTAGAAGGTGATGATCCACATCTCTTCCTCCCTTTTTCTGCACAAGACCCCCTCTAAACTCCGTAACGAGGAACTGAATAGAAAGAAAGAACCGGAGCTTGGGGATGGACAGTGAGAAAAGGCAGACTACAAACGTGTGTAGCCTGAAGTCCAAAAGCCACTAAACAAGGACAGCAGTGAGAAGAGCTGCCAGCTGGGAGCTCCACAAAGCATCCCAGCTGCCCCAGGGAAAGTGGCCTCATTAACCTCCACTGATGCTACAGCCAGGTATGAACTGTAGGAAAACACCCCAGGAGGGGGGTGTGGAATGAGCACTGCTGCAGGGCAGACATGGGCACAGAGCACACACATCAAAAACAGCTGAAGAGGACTGAGTTGTGTTTATGGATTTCAACAGTTTTGCATATGCATAATGGTCTTTGTTGTCATGCTGACAGCCAGCAGCACCTCCTCCAGTGCAGACCAGCATGTAGGTGAGAACAGTTTCCTGCTGACAGGGACACAGCTGCCCTTGTGCCATGGCACTGTCACCCACTGCTCCACGGTACTATCCACAGCCTGGAACACCAGTTTAGGGCTCCTTTAGTTTAGGGTTCCTTGATCTACCACAGCATCATCCAGAACTGGCAAGACAGCAACTGTGGCTGCTCTGTTTCAAGAAGACAGTGCTTTCTTTTGCAGATCTGCAAACACCTGACGCTACATCCTCTGCTTTTCATCCCTCTCACTTGGTCCTAAGGCTTCAAGGGAGGCTGGTTTGGATTATTTTTTTAATGAACTCCTGCTCTTGTGAGAAGGAACTTTCCTTGAAGGTGATTCAAACCCAAGATCCTTGTGCACAGTTCTAATGATTGGAGAAAGGAGCTGTGGGCTGAATGTAAGAGCCATCTCAAAACAGTGATTTTATGTGTGGATTCCACCAGCTGGTACTCAGGGTGGATTTGTTACTGTGGAAGATGGTACTGACCCATCTGAACGTGGAAATGTGTCATTTCTCACAGGAGAGGAGCTTCTCCCCTCAACTTTTGTGCTGCCTGTCCCAGTGAGAGCCAATGCCAGCCAAAGGAGGGGAGGATGCCCAAGGACCAGGGAGGTCATTCCTGCACATATCTACACGGTTGCAGGGGTGGGGCAAACAATGGAGAAACCTGTGAGTACGATTATTTCCTAATGCTCTTTCTGGCAGATTTCTTTTCCTGTAGCAGATCTTCACTAACCAGATGATGGATTCAGTTTCAGGTATTTGGAGACTCAATTTTTTTTACTTAATGCACAATAAAACCTTTACTATCTGCAAGGGCTTGCTGTCTCCTTTTCTGATTCTCATTCAGACAAGATCAGGACTAGGGAGAATACAAAATATAATTAAATTCCACCTACAGTTCCAATTCCTGTATTTTCTAATGGAGTTCTGATATTATTTTCTGGGGAGGGAGAAGGTGGGAAGGGGGAGAAGAACCCCTCTCCTGCCTCATACATAACTTGGGTTTGTCACTTCTTTCAAGGCCAGCTAACCTAGGAATGTGATCAATTTCTAAAGCCCCCACATGCACTTTCAAAACTAGAACTTGCTCCAGCTTTTAAGAAAAGCAATTCAATAACCAGCCATTTTATACCACTACTACATTTCTCTCCCTCTCGACTGAGCAACTTATCAACATAAATCCCACTATTCTTCTAAAACTGAAGCAATTAAAGCATATAGAGTTAAATTAATACAAAAGGCCATCACTGGTTGGTTGGGCTGCACTTTCAGATAACCACAATTTTAACTGCAGGGGGGCAGAAGAGCACAGTCAGTCATGAATGACCTTCCCTTCCCACAGCAGAGACCAGGAAAACTTTTTTTCAATTTTCTTGAAATTTTTCATAACCACTGACACCAACCGTGTCTCCACTGTCTTTAAAAGACCTGGGGTGAGAACACAGGTCTCGTTTGACACTGGCTAGCAATTTAACTCTTTTCTATGTAGCACCCATATTATTAAAAAAAAAAAAAAAAAAAAGGAACACAGTAATTATCGGGGCATTTTCAAAGATTATACAAGAGAGTAGCAACCTTGCAGCATCTCACGTTGATTTCACAGAACACCCGCAAAGCCATTCAGGCCTCTAAGTACAATTCTTCATTTCCACTGGCTCCCAAAGGAAACGCTGTGTGTGCTGAGCTAGCAGGGCAATGAGCATTGGCCTGAGCAGCTACAGGCCTGGGGCGACAGCGACGTCCACGGCTGCTTTGTGCCAGAGGCAGCTGGGACAGGAAAACACGTGGGAATGTATGAGTAGGAAGCTGATTGGACGGGAGGACATGTGGAATGTATGAGTAGGAAGCTGATTGGAC